ATAGTAAAGAAGAGTGAAGCATTGTAAAGCTTACATCAGTAGATCTGTGTATCATCATATGAAGTTTCATTACAGAACTTGAATGGTTTCTTTAAAATAAAGCTTAACACTAATTTAAAGAAAAGTTAAGTGAAAGTCAAAGGAAAAGTCAAGGTCAAAACATATTGCTGCAATTGGATAGTTTACATCAGTATGCATCAACATATGAACTTTGATAAAAATATCAAGAAAGTTTCTTTGAGCCCCATGGAAAGACAGATGAAAGGGTGGAGGACAGACATGACAAAAACTATACATGTATTCCTAATCATGGCGTGGCATAAAAAACTTGAATCTACATTATATGAGGATGTTTCCATATCAAGATTATACAAGCAAATTCAAAGAATTGTGATCCTCTACTTTCTGTATTTTAGTGAATGGGATGCCATATTTTATAGCAGATTGTGTGTCAAATATGCACCCCTATCATATGTCAATTTATGAAAATTAGGTCAAAGGGGAAAAGTCATAGCATGGTAGGAAATATGTTGTTGCAGGTAATGTACATGTCAAATATGAATGTTCTGTCTCTTTTCAATCAAAAGCTTTTCACATGTAATATACGTCTATAATTTGAATGCCCTGTCTTCTCTCTTTCAAAATGATCAATTTAAAATGTTATTTTTTGGAAAGTAGGTAAAACTTTAAGGTCAAGGTCTCACTTGGGTTAAAAATCATAGTATAATTAGAAAGTTTTGTGGTAATGTACATGTGAAATATGAAAGCCCCATCTCTTATTATTCAAAAGTTATGACCAAGTTTAAATTTATTGTGACAGATGCACATACTGTCAATAAAATGGACAGACTGACAGACAAATGCGATTTAATGTCCCCTCCCTTTCCCAAAAACGGGGGACAATAATGCTCTTGCTGTTCTTGAAAAGAAGATTGATGATGGAAAAAATCCCCTGCATATCTCATAATGCAAATCAATATTGTGTTTTTATGTCAATTGTTTGTTTGTGTTTAAACATCCCTCTCAGGAATTTTTCACTCATATGGAGCCACCACCACTAGAAATATAATGAGGACATTAAGCTGTAAAGAGATATGAACTCGATCCTTCCCCTCACTCCTTCCCAGACCCTGTTTATTCATGTATGCAAACTACTACTTGTTTTTACATTTTAAAAAAATGTTAATATATACAACAGTGTACAACGTGGTCCATCTCTTTGAATGATTTTCATTTCTAATTCTAGGAGGACAGGTTGACACAAATTCATGAATAAAATGTCAAGCAATCTTATCATTGATGCACTTTTACTAAATTTAATGCAGTCATATTGTGAACATTTCCAGTTCATTAGGAGAGTGGGGATGACCTCCAAGGGTTCATAACCTTTATACCATTAAATTTACATAACATAATAATACAGGAAACAAAATTATGTAAAGTTAAATGGAAAAATGTTTCCTACTATTTAGGAGGCACATGATCATTTGTCAATTTGTCATTACAGGGACAGGGAGTGGATTGGGAGATCCCCCTCCCCCCCCCCCCCTCCGGAATTTGCAGGACTATAATATATATACTGAAGCAAATAAAAATGACTTTGAATGCCATCCACTCTAGAAAACAGGAAAAAATAAGGTCTTAACAGGTTAAAAATCCCCTTCCCCACCCCCACCCCCCACCCCCCAAAAAAATCTGTATCTTGTAATTGAATGTAATATCGATAACGAGGGATAACTCTTCAGAATGTGAATTTCGTCTCATTGCAGCATAGGATGACCTTTGATCCTTTAAACTTAACCTAACCAGTTGCATTTCAGACTATTTTACCCAAATCTATACTTAAACTTGTACTTACCGACTGTCATAGGTCCTGTCTACTTCATGAAATATAATCCAATTAAAACACAAAATGAAATAATTCCTACTGAAATACATGTACACCACACTAGTACTGCACGTGCAGTGCAATCTAAAAATGATAATGGTAAAACTAGTACTTAAGGTTGGTATGTGACGCAAGCTCAATGTGATGCAGGTGTTCAGATTCATGTATAGTACAAGAACAAATTTAAAATTATCATTTACAAAAGATGTTTTATCTTAACTTTGCCATCTAGGCCTATTTCCAAAAACAGGCAAATAGGATGTGTTTGTGTGTTGATGGGAGAGGGGTGGGGTTTGACTAAATTAATTCGGTATATGGCAGCTATCAAGGAGTTTCTGCCTAATCAAATATAAAAAAAAAGTTTGTACATTTTTAAAAATTCATCAAAAACGCTTTATACTAATTTGAAAAAATATTATTTGTTGTTGATTTGTATGAGAATATAGATTTAAAAAATCCCAATTATGGGCCAAAAAATTATATCTTTCCTTTATCAAACCTAATTTACATCATTAATTAGGCAAAAAAAAATTAATAAATTGTTTCTCAGGCCAAAAAATCTAAATTCAATGCGGCAGGCAGGCTTTTTTTTTTTTTTTTTTTTTTTTTTTTTGAAGCAGGATTTAGTCTACACCTTTTTTTTAAAGTAATTTGTTCAATAAAATGATAATATCTAGTATTTCTCAACTTTTGTTCTCTAAAATTAGTTATAATATGTATTCAACTTTAAATAATGTTATTCCAAACATTTATTTAAAAGTTAACTTATAAAATACTGTAGATTTAGAAGAAAGATATAGTTTTTCTAATAAAAATGTCTATCTTAGCATTTATGAAAAGGGCAATAACTCGATTTTCTTTTTCAACTTGGAAAAATAGAAAATTGGGTTATTTCCCTTTTCCATATGTCAATAGAATTGATCAATGCGGCCGTTTTTGAACTGATGCGGCGGTGCCTGAGAAACAATTTATTAATTTTTTTTTGGCCTTAAATTCTGTTGTTTAATTCAAACTGGTAAGGAATTAAGAATATGAAATACCTACATGTACTGTATTAAGATCGAGGCCCATGGGTCACATGGTCACCTGAGCATATTATGCTCAATTTGATGAATACATTGTTTTATGTAAATACATGTAATTGAATTATATTGACTTAAGCTTTTCCTTGGTAAAGCCCAATTTGAAGGAGTGTGCATTTAGAGGCAAACACCTTAGTGCGGGTATTACTGTCTCATGACAGCATCTAGTTTCATATTTACTTCCGAATGCAGAAAAGAAAATTAAAATGATCATTTAATCTTTTAATTCTTCATTTTAATTAGGTATTAATGCCAGAAATAGACATTTAAAAAATGAGTTGAATTTTCGTCTTTATGTGGATTATTTTATTTGGATAAAGGCATTCACAACCTCAAAATCAAACAGTTTAACCTCGGTCATAACTTTTGCATATGGACAATTATGGACTTCAGTGTAGGTCGATATATGGCTATAAGGACTCATGGCAATTGATATTGACCGAAAACACAGAAAGTGATAGCGACCGAGCCTGTATCTATATTTAAATTTTTAAATAATTATACTCCCTTGGAGGGTATATTGTAATCGGTATGTCCGTCCGTCTGTCTTTCTAATTATAACCATATGGGAGGCGGGGGTATCATTTAGTGAGCTCATTGCTCAAAGTACCTCTAGTTTCAAAATAAAAAGTATGGGGCGCCGTTTTGGTATTTACTACCAAAAGTGATATCTCCCATTCGAATAAATGATACATGTATCATATATTTAGTTGGTGATATCATCTATTCGAACACGTGATATCACCTATTCAGATTTTGAATAGGTGATATCACCTATTCGAATAAGTGATATCACCTTTTCAAATAGTTGATATCACCTATGTGATTTGAATTCGTGATATCACCTATTCGAAAAGGTGATATCACTTATTCGAAATAACAAAATGAATTATTAATAATTTCACCACAATTTTTGCCAAGATAAAAAAAGCCACAGACATCATTCTCCAATAAATCACGAACGAAAAATTATCAGATCAGAAACACGTATCAAACCTGAACAATGCAAATGCATATTTGGCTGTAGCATGATATACTTAATAAATGTTTACACCACATCGAAGTGTCGTCTTTTGTAGTATAAACACTGTAAATTGCATCAAGTTGATGAATGTCGGTTGTTATAGCTAAGCGGGGCTATTCCACAGACCTCCCTACACATTTAAACACATGATTTTAGTCCCAATAGAGCAGTAAAATAGGAACATGATTTTGTTCTTGTATATTCATTAAAACTAATCATATATTCCATGGACCTCCCAACACATTTAATTCGTTTATGTCAAATATTGGATTTTAGTCCTAATATATAGAGCAGTAAAACATGAACATGGTTTTGTTATTGTTTATTCATTAAATTTAATCAATACATATTTACATATTACATGTACGATCAAATTTGTAGTTCAAAAAGGTTTTTTTTAATGCAACGAAAGTTCAAATCTTCTGGATTTTATACAAAGGAAAACAAACAAATTTTCCCTCTGATGTTAAATGGAACAGCGTAATCGAGACATTGTAGCCTTATTCGTTTCTTTATAGAGGAAACGATCAGCCGTATTTTAGCAATTTAGTAGACATGGTGGAATAGAAATAAAGTCGCTGTTATGTAATGATGCAGAATAACCTCATCGGTCTCAAAATGTTGTTTGAAATATAAAAGCCTCGGCTTTTATCTTTCAAACAACATTTCTCGACCCCGGAGGTTATCCTGCAACATTCACGAAAACGCGGACTTTATTTCTCAAATATATTTTAATTACGTTGTTCTGTCTTTCATAATCTCTTGTGTTGATTGCATACCTGTAAATCAAGCAACCACGCCACTAGAAAGGTTTTCTAATCTATTTAATATATATTTTCAATACCGAACTCCGTATATGGCACGGGTCTAAATGTCAAAATGTCAGTGTAAGTACTCCGTAAAAGTCAGTGCTTCTTTCGAAAGTCAAATAGCGGATTTCTTGCACATGAAAACTGCAGATAAACGTGACAGAGCAATATTTTTTTCTGTGTGTTCAATAACTTACCTTTGTCGCATTTATCATTGGTATAGCCCGGTTTGCACCCAGTATCACACTTTCCTGAGATTTTGTTGCACGGAATTTCATTTAGACAATTCCCCGTGCAGTTATAAATGCAGTTACTACCATATGCCCCATCAAGGCATCCTTTAAAACATGTTTGATTATATGACTTCATATTCAAATATTTCATTTCAATTTTCTTAGTTTTTATTTTTCCCAAAGAGAAGGTTAAAAATCATATTTGAAGCAAATAAAAACAAAAATATCAGAGATTTCCATGATTAAAATGCTTTATAAAACATATTTACGAAAAAATTTTGCAGAACACGCTAGAGCGCAATTTTTTTTTTTTAAAATATATAATTGTGTTTTTTAATTTCATCTTACTCTCATCACAATGCGCTCCTGTCCATCCATAAGCACATCCGTCCTTGCATTGACCTGTTGCGTGATCATAGGTGTTATTGTCTTTACAATATCCAGCAAAGGTCTTATTGCAATCAAGTCCATACTGCTTAATCGGACAAGCTATAAATCAAACAGTACATAGAAATCAAATTTTTTTTTCAAAAAATACATAAATCCAGATACCAATGATTTTGATTAAATACCTTTATCACAGTGATCCCCTACCCATCCAGGCTTACATCCTAGACAAGTTCCGTCCAGGATATGACATCTATTTTCTTGACATGCTTCAGGACATCGTAGACTACAGTTTTTACCAAACATACCACGTTCTTTACAGCCTGACAAAAAGTAAACCAAAAACTTAATTAAAATAAATCTTCAATAGTTCTGTAAATATTTCACAAGAAAGTAAAATTAAAGAACTGACATAAACTTATATATACCTTGAACCTCTACGTCACATAATTCAGTAACAGCGGATTGTTCAAAACCTTCAGGGTAGCCACCTGGATATCCAGTAGAAACTGCTCCATCCGAAAGTCTTTCGTTAAAGTAGATTACGTATCGCGCATGACCTATACACCTGGTATTAAAATCCAAGGGTGGTAACTCTGGACCATCTATATAACAACGATAACCATTCTCTTTTCTTGTTGAGTTTGAAAGATATAATGAAAACCCTGCAAATCGGCCTCTTTGACGTGTAACTATAATATATTGAAGAAACATACGTATAAGGTTAGATCTGAACAACATAGTGGTGTTTTTGTTGATGACAAAACATACATGTAGTTACACATGTAAGTTAATCTAATTGACCTTTATAAATTATTTATAGGGTTTTCTTATAGCTAATTAAATGTTGATAAAATATCATTCCATTCTTTTTCTCGTAGAATGTTTAAAATGGAAATGTTTCCGTTCTTTTTCTCTTAAGATGTACAAAATAGCTATGTTATACAGCTAACATTATTTCAAAAGGCAAAAGTTTATGTAAAATTCGTACTATATCCATCATAAGATTTGAACAGTATTCTAATGCTGTATATGCTCTTCATTTCACCAAGGTCCACATTCCACCAAGTATATGGTAAACTATGTTTGTTTATTGTTCTTGTACGCATGCAACTATCCCTGTTATCATCGACGGCGTTTTGTGATGTATATAAAATGCAATTTTCTGCCATACAGTACCAGGTTTCATACTGCTGAGTTGACTTTCCTCTAGACAAATTGTCTGTTAAAACCAAAATTTATACCAAATAGTTTACATATATCACAAAATAAATTCCAATTTGTACTTACAGAAATATGATTCATGAACACGAATTAGAATAAATTACTTCCATCAACTGTTGTTACATAAAAATGTGTATTCAACCAATGAGTGTCCTTACTTTGTTTCTAAAAACATTGAAATAAGCAGAAAAGTATACACTGACATATATTTCTTTTCAAATTAGTATTCAATCAATCTTCAAATTATATAAACCTTGGCAAAGGTTTTTCTTAAGTTACATATTTTTAATTTCTTGTGTTGGCTCTTCAACATGATTGAAACATTTTTTTTCTCAGAATAACACAAAGACGCATGAAGTGCGCTTATGTAATGCAATGAGATAATTTTCTACGTGCATATACCAAAATTTATTACTTCTTACCTTCCAAGGAATGTCTTGTAGCCTGCGACCTAATTTGTGATACCTTATCAAACATTGCTACCATCTAATTATCATCTTAAAGAATCCGTTACTTGCAACTTTGGTGTGTTTTCATACGACATTAGGCAATTTAAAACTTGCATGTAATCAACATTATTTTGAATTGCATAAATTTTAATTCACTAGAAAAAATAATCCTTTATTTGAGCTACCATGAATGATTGACAAGAGCCTAACAAATGAATATGGAAATAATTATGAATGTTTTTTCATGTATATCAGTAAAGTATCAGTCACATTATCCAACGATGGGGTATACGATGAGAAACTGATGCGTTTTTGGTGAAAATGGCGTGGTTGCCGGCCGGGCACCACTAATGATCGGACGGTGACTTGGGCCATTTTGCGAATCGGTGGGGTCATCGGTAGGAAATAATTCGTAGTTAAAATTAAGCGATGTCTCCAACGATGCCTCACATCGCTCCTCATCGGCAACCCATCATTAACACATCTTACACGGATCGGCTGATGTATGGCCGAGCATCGTCAATTGTCCGTTGAATCTGAGGTCATCGGGGGTTGGGTGGTGTTCAACAGATAACGGCCGATCATCGGTCGATGTTCGACCAAACATTGGCCCGTAGTCAACCGATGTTCGAACGATGCTTACCAATGTGTGAGCGATGTAATTACATCGGCCAATTATCCTAGAGCATCGTTTTATGATTAGCAATGCTTCGCTGGGCCTTTGTAAGTCCGGCCGGCAACCACGCTATTTTTATCATAAAACGCATTGGTTGCCCATCGTATATCCATCGCTGGATAATGTGACTGATTCTTTAAGGACTACTAGGCCGATGTGGACCGATGTTGGGGCATCGTTAACACTACGGATTTACCACCGATTAAGTATAAGTCACATTATCCAGCGATGGGTTTTATTATGAGAAACCGATGCGTTTTTTGATGAAAATGGCGTGGTTGCCGGCCGGACGCCACTAGTGATCGGACGGTGTCTGAGGCAATTTTGCGAATCGTTGGGGTCATCGGTAGGAAATAATTCGTAGTTAAAATTCAGCGATGTCTCTAACGATGCCTCACATCGCTCCTCATCGGCAACCCAAAATTAACAAATCTTTCAAGGAACGGCCGATGTATGGCCGAGCATCGTCCAATATTCGTTGAATCTGAGTTCGTCGGGGGGATTGAGTGGTGGGCAACAGGCAACGGCCAATCATCGGTCGATGTTCGATCAAACATTGGACCGTAGTCGACCGATGTACGAACGATGTTCACCAATGTATTAGCGATGTAATATACATCGGCCGATTATCCTTGAACATCGTTTTATGATTAGCAATGCATCGCTGGGCCCTTGTAAGTCCGGCCGGGAACCACGCCATTTTTATTAAAAATCGCATTGGTTGCCCATCGTATAGCCCATCACTGGATAATGTGACTTATACGAGGGTTGTCCCGTAAAATCGTGGACAAGTTGTCTAGTTTGAAAAATAATCATCACTGCGTTCTGAAATTTTCACCACTTTTTAGTAGATAAATTATAAATATACATAGCAAATTTCAAATAGATATATGCATAGGTAAACAAATTGTGATATTTTATGTTATGTATTGTATCGCCCTATGGCGCACGGATGATAACGTCAAAGTGTCTAAAACAGCGTCACGTTTCATTTTTGCTAAACTTAAAGTTGGATAAGCCCCACTTAAATTTAGAAGTTTTATTGATTTACATATGTGAGTATCTATAACCAGTTAAGAAACCACTGTGGCACACTCATGCGATCTTCTGAATATTTATTAGCAAGTTACAGACAGTATTCTCACCATCATTCAACTAAAAGAGAATCTCACATCGACGGTCGACAGTGACAGCGTCCTTTGCTATTACAAATGGCAGTCTGTCCATATGTTTTGTAATATCTGGAGACTCGACCACGAAAGCTTCACTAAGAAAACTTTCATATCATTTATATACTAAAGATCTGGTGATATTTTTCATATTTTCTTTCTTCTGTATTCATTTAAAGTCTCTTAAGGCGTCATTACAACATCCTAATCTATCTGAACTGCTCTCCGGTGCGCCGTAACGTCATAAAAAGTCGCCATTTTTCGTGTATTGTGTTTATTACTTTCCCATTTCAAACGCTCGGGAAACTGCCAAAAATTAACCAAATGCCTTGAATTTTTTAAAAAGACGACAGAATTGATTAAGGAATGGAATTAGGATAATTTTCATCCTAATCTTATGTATTGAAAACTTTTATTACGAATTAATTTTTATGTCTTCACTAATATAACCTTGCTATTTTTACCGTGCGCCGTAGGACCGTACCTTGTGCACATTCAAGCAGAATAAAATCTTTATTTTTGAATATATATTATCAAAAACATTAAGATTCACTTAAATAGAATGAATAAACATTTACTGAAAATTTCAGCTTAGTGCGCCCATTACTTTTCGAGAAAAACGCTTTGTCCACGATTTTATGGGACAACCCTCGTACTTTAAGGACTACTATTCCGATGTGGACCGATGTTTAGGCATCGCTCACACCAAGGATTACCACCGATTACAACCGGTCTACTGCCACCAGCCGGGAAATGTGACCTAGGCATAAAAGTAGCACAGATTTCAAACACAAGGACGAAAAAAATTATGTAATTAAAAATATGTCTTATAAAGGTCAGAATCTTTAGTATACCAGTTTCATGAGCGACTTCCGTTGAAATGCATTTTGAAAATAAGTACAAAAATCCCGGCAATTCTTTGAAATGACATTCATTTTAACAGCCAGTCATCAGTTTTTATCTTCCAGGAAAGGGTTTTTCGAAGTTGATCAATACAATTAGAAACTAAAACTGTCGTTTATTTTAATCTATTTTAATGAGGGATTTAACAAACAATGAAATACGATTTAGTTTAATCTATTTTCCGAAGATGGAATTGTATTTGATGCCATGACGGGATTTAACAAACAATGAAACACAATTTAGCAGGCAGATAATTATGTACATACCGTACGCTATGCAATTAATTATTCCTAACAGTATCATGAAAACTTTTAAAAACATGTCTGTTCAGGAAGCATTAGCCTTGCACATGAAATAATCTTTACTATATTAATGCAGCACATGCGGAAGTATGAATAAAATTGTTGTTACTATATTTCATCCCTGTTAATTTAGGTGAAAATATTTCCCCTTTTTTTACAGAATTTTTTAAATATCATATGTAAACCTTCTTTGAAATAATATATATTTTTTTATTTTTTTAATTACTATACAGTTAAAGTATATCGTTGAGGAAGTTAGCAATATTCCAGTAAAATTCCCTAAGATCAGGACCAATTATCCGCCGCGAGAAATTGTCTTGTTCGAGGGAAACTGGAATCTTGCCAACTCCCTCAATGATATACTTTTTAACTGTTTTTTTTAAATTGATACAAATAGAGGATTACGAATGGTGGGGATTCTGTATTTATGCATTAATTAGACCGATACAAAAGTAAAATCTAGAGGATTATACAGATAACCGGGGAATTAGGTTCCGAAGCAGGGATTAGCTCATACAGTGTATACCTATCACACGGGAAATTAGTCAACTCACTGAGATTTCTAGGGAGTTATTCACAATTTATTATACTTCTGTTAAAATGTTTCTTATCTAAAGTTCAGAAGGTAAAATAGCTATCTTTTATAGTCCACGCATAGCAGAGCTATACCTCGGGGTATAGTTTTTGCTATCAACCCTCGGAAAATTTTCATGCAATTTTGATTTCCAGCGACAAATCTATAGACATGATGATGTCATAATGACTTCAGTAGCATTGTGACGTCATCAGGATTTCAGATTATTCTTGCAGTATTATCTTACTCCAAAAAAATTCAAACCTCAAAAATTATATTATACATCAGTATAATAAAACGCTTATCCACTGGCTGTGAGTGGGATAGCTCTTTTATCAAACCCTTGACAGAAACTATACCCCTCGAGCAAGCCCTCAGGGAATAGTTCCTGTCGTAGGTTTGATAAAAGAGCTATCCCACTCACAGCCAGTGGATAAGTGTATATTACTACCTTCCTTTTACACAGGAAAAAATTCAGTAGAGGTATAATAAAAATTGATAATTATGATAATTAAACTATATCAGCAGCATTTAGGTGATTTGGACATATTTATGTAAAGAATTAAAAAATTAAGATAAAAACAATTATGTCATAATCATAATAATAAGATGAAGATAACAAACACATAAACCAATCTTACAAATCTTCTAAACTCAGTTCAAAATACAATACATATAGTTAAGGCATTTAAATGCTTGGATCAGTTGTCTTAAGCATCTCCTATTAATCGTTCTAACCATTTGTGATACATTATTTTTTTTAACGCCTTGACCCTTTAATGCTGACTGTTGTTCCATAATGTTGATTTGGCAACACTTTTCAGTCAGACGAAAAAAATTAAAGCTTGGCAATCAATTGCAGAATTGGTTAACACCAAGACATTCCGAGTGATTAAACAGTATTAGGGTGAGTATTTTTTTCATCATATCTCCTCAATGTAAGCCCTATGCAAGTAAACAGAACGATAAAATATTACCTCTAGTAATATTAATATGTTTCTATTTGATCCATTCACTAAGTATAGCTGCTTCAAAATTCGAACAAAATTGCTCACAAATATTATGAACTATTAGACATTACGAGAAGGAAAACGTCAAAATCGTCCCTTTTGTCCTTACTCACAACCCAGGAAATCACAAAATCGTAAATCTGCCAAATCATTTTCCATATTCCCCAACAATAAGAAACAGTATGGGACATTATTAAACCAATTGATGCACTACACAGAAGGCGTCAATTTCCTAATTTGTAAAAAAAAACCTTACTGCAGCCACTTTTACATCAAATACTGAAAATTCCATAGTTTCAAAATGCAAAGATTCACGATGTTTAACCTGTTTATTTTTCACTTCGGCCAATCCATGATTCTTAAAAAAGGAATGGTTTGACGTAAAATCATCTATGACGTGTAA